AGGAGGGAGGGAGGGAGGGAGGGAGAGGAGAGGAGGGAGGAGGGGGAGGGGGAGGGGAGGGGGAGGGAGGGGGGAGGAGGAGGGAGGGAGGGGGAGAGAGGGAGAGGGAGGAGGGAGGGAAGGGGAGAGAGAGAGAGAGAGAGAGAGAAGAGAGGAGAGAGAAGAGAGAGAGAGAGAGAGAGAGAGGAGAGAGAGAGAGAGAGAGAAGAGAGAGAGAGAGAGAAAGGAAGAGAAAGAGAAGAGAGAAAGAGAGAGAGAAAGAGGCAGAGAGGGAGAGACAGATAAAGATAAGATATAAAATAAAACGCCGATACATATATATATATATATATATATATATATATATATATATATATATATATATATGTACATATATATTTGTAAATAAACTGTCATAAGCACATAAACACACATACATTATACAGAAAATAAAATCTACGGATCTAGCATCATATTTCAATGTACCCATGACCTCATCAGTTACATACGAACTCTATCTACTAGAATCATAAATCCTACATAAACACAAGCACAAGCACGCACACACACACACACACACACACACACACACACACACACACACACACACACACACACACACACACACACACAAAAAAAAAAAAAAAAAAAAAAAAAAAAAAAAAAAAAAAACAGACACACATATACATACATATAGAAATAACTCTCATCACAGAACCCCAACAATAAAGTCCGCAATAACAACACCACCCAGAGGCACTCCGAGGGCGCATACCTCCGCCGAGGCAATATTCACAACATTTTGAGTCATCCTGCAACGACCCAACGCCACCCAAAACGCGACCCTATTGCCGGAGGTAATAAAATGCTGAAAAGTATCAACAGACACGACCACGCTCATAAATACTCTGTTTGTCCGTCTGTCTATCTGTCTGTCTCTCTAACAATCTATTCACCTACCTAAGTAAATACTACCAGCCTCTCTCTCTCCCTAATTTCTTTCTTTCTTTCTTTCTCTTTCTTTCTCTCTCTCTCTCACTCACTCACCCATCCAAACACCCACCCACCCACCCACTCACTCACTCACTCACTCACTCACTCTCCCAACCTATCTACTTACCTACCTAACTAAATACTTACCAACCTCTCTCTCTCCCTACCTGCCTGCCTGCCTTCCTTCTTTCCTTCCGTTACTGTTGATACTAGAAAGTATCAACAGTAACGACCACGCTAATAATACCAGCCATTGGTAATAATTGAGATGATTACGCTTATCAAAACAAATACTTTCATTGCACAATAATAACTAAACATATCCGCTGTAATGATGAAAACTACAACTATCACCATGAGATGATGACGATAATATCAATAATGATGGTGATGATGATGATGACGATAATGAGGATGAGGATGATGTGATAATGATAATGGTGATGATAATAAAAACAATAATAGTAAGAAAATAATATGAATCATCATTATAGCGATTATAATTATAATCATTATCATTATTACTGCCATTATCATTATTATTACTACTACCATTATCATTGTTTTTTACCATCATCAACATCATTATAATGTTTTCTATTATCATTATTATTGTTATCATTACTAGTATCATTAAAATGATAATCATCATAATCACTGTCATTTTTGTTGTTGTTCCAATTATCATTATTACTATCACTGTCATTATTATTGTCATCACTATTATTATCATCATTATCATTCTCATAATTATTATCATAATCACAAGGATTATCATAATTATTTCTTTTTAGTATTATCAACAAAAATATTAGTACCATTATCAGTATCAACATTATTATCATTAGAATATCATCAATGTATGAATATACATGTAAACATATGCATGTATATAAAAAATAAATACAAATATTTATACATATACATATATACATACAAACATACATACATACTTGTATACATACATATACATACATATATATATAGATAGACAGATAGATAGATAGATAGATAGATAGATAGATAGATAGATAGATAATAAAAAAATCGACCTAACAAAGTAGCAAAAAACTTTAATATACATACAAACATACACACATACCTGTATACAACATATATATACATATATAAATGGATAGATAGATAGCTACATAGACAGACAGACAGACAGATATAGACAGACAGATAATAAAAACAAAGTAGCAAAAAACCCTTAAAAAAAGACAACTCGAATAATTCCTACAAAAATCTTCCTCGAAACCCTTAAAAAAAAGACAACTCGAATAATTCCTACAGAAATCTTCCTCGAAACCCTTAAAAAAAGACGACTCGAATAATTCCCACAAAAATCTTCCTCGAAACCCTTAAAAAAAGACAACTCGAATAATTCCTACAAAAATCTTTCTCGGCGCCGCGATCCTGCCCCTCGAGACTTGCCCTTCCAACAATCGCTGCTTCCTGAGGGTTTCCCACGGGGTTTCCGGGGGGGGGGGAGAGAGGCAGGAGAGCAGGTTTCCTCCCGGCGCCGTCGACCAAGCAGGCGCCGCTTGACAGGCAGGTATGACAGGTATGACACCGTGACAACTCCCCATGAGGAACTCGCTTCACCAGGCTTCCCCCCCCCCACCCCAACCCCCACACCCTTCACCCCCGCCTGTTCAGCTTGAGAAGGACTGAATTATTAGCATTTATTCCTCCTCTCTCCACCTTTATTTGTTTTGTTTTTGTTTTCGCGTCCCCTCCCTCTTTATTTGTTTTGTTTTTGTTTTCGTGTCCTCTCCCTCTTTATTTGTTTTGTTTTTGTTTTCGTGTTTCGTTTTTTTTTTAGGATTATTTACATTTATCCCAACCTCGACTCATTTTGTTTTGATCTTTGTTTCATTTATTTTTCTCTCTTTGTCTTTTATTTTCGTGTTCTTTTCTCCATTCTCCGTCCTTCCCTCCCCCCATCCCCCACCCCCACCCCAACCCCTACCGGTTCACCCAAAAAGAGCTGAATTATTTACATTTATTCCCCTTTCCTTTATTTATTTTTTTTTTCCTTTTCGTGTTTCATCTGAGGATTATCGGATTTCTCTCTATTCTTCGTGCTACCTCCCCCCCCCTCCCCTCCCCATGACACCGGTTCGCTTGACAAAGAACAGAATTATTTACATTATCTCCCTCCCTTTATTTGTTTTGTTTTCTTTCGTGTTTCATTTTGAGGATTATCGGATTTCTCTTTATTCTTCGTACTACCTCCCCCTACCGATTCACCTAACAAAGAGTTGACTTATTTATATTTATCCGCACGCATCCACCACTTATCTATTTTCTTATAATCTCTCTTATCTATTTATTTATTTCGTTTTCGTGTTTAATTTGATTATCCTATTTCTCTTCGTTCTTCGTACTAACCTCCCCCCCAACAGGTTCACTTAACAAAGAGCTAAATTATTCATATTTAATCCCCCGCTTCCTTTATTTTCTTATCCACCCCCCCCCCCTTTATCCATTATTTATTTCGTCTTCTTGTTTCATTTGATTATCTGATTTCTCTTCGTTCCTCGTACTACCCCCCCCCCCAACCACCACCACCCCCCTCGGTTTCCTCTGTCCTGTGACACTTCCGGAGGAGGTGGCGGCCGCTCTGCCTTCACCTCAACCGCTGACGGAGAGAGCGATTCCCACGTCGCTCTCTCTGTCTGTCTGTCTGTCTGTCTCTGTCTGTCTCTCTCTCTCTTTTTTCTTTCTTCTCTCTCTCTCTCTCTTTTCTTTCTTTCTTTCTCTCTCTCTCTCTCTCTTTTTTCTTTCTTTCTTCTCTCTCTCTTTCTCTTTCTCTCTCTCTCTCTCTTCTCTCTCTCTCTCTCTCTCCTCTCTCTCTCTCTCTCTCTCTCTCTCTCTCTCTTTGCCTGTCTTTGTCTCATTCCGCAATGCGAATGCATAGCTTTTGTGTTTAACTATATCTATAAACATTGCATCAACATATCGTGCGGATACGTTCTACAAGTGTGTCTGTGTCTGTTTACATACACACACACACAATATATATATATATATATATATATATATATATATATATATATATATATATATATATATATATATATATATATATATATATATATATAATATATATATATATATATATATATATATATATATATTATATATATATATATATATATATATATATATATATATAATACAACACAAATATATGTACATATATAAATGTGTATATTTATATATATGTGTGTGTGTGTGTGTGTAAATATGCACACGTGTATCCATCTATTTCCAGTTCGCCTCAGCAGACTCCCCGCAGCTTCCCTCCTCTCACCCCTTCGCAATGCAATGGCCCCTCCCCCTCCCCCCTCTCCCCCGCCCCCGGCCTGGCTTCGCGGAGAGCGGGACGGCCGCCGCACACGCCTCGCGCGGGAGATGGGGAGGGCGCATGACTAAGAGGCTGACAGGTGGGAGGGAGCACGGGCGAGGGGAGGGGAGAGAGGGGAGGGGGGGAGGGAAGAGAGGGAGGGGGGAGAGGGAGGGAGGGGAGGAAGAGAGGAGGGAGGGGAGGGAAGAGGGAGGGGAGAGGAGGGGGAGGAGAGGGGAGGGGGTAAAAGGGGGGGAGGGTGGCGTAGAGGACAGGGGGGTGTCCAAGCCAAGTAGAATGGAAAATATCTTGCACTTCACCGAAAGCTGCTGCTGCCTCTTCCTCGCAGCGATTGCAGCACGTCGCACTTGCGCGTGCTTGGCGTTGCATGCGCACTCCCTTCGTGTAGTTCCACGCCCGGTCGGTGAGAACAAGAATAAAAAGCTACCCAACGCCGACGAAACAAAATACACAAACACATCCTGGAACTTGTGCTTTCGGTTCACTTGTGTGCATTTCTGGGGGATGCGGCCCCTCCCCCCTCCCCGGCGGCGAGGGGTCCTTCGTTCCTTGCCACCAGACGCTGCCGCCCCTCGCCTGCGCCACGCCCGCGTCGCCTCCGAGATCGAGCACTGTCTTTCGCACACGCACTCGCGAACGGTCACCAGCGTACGATAGGGCAGGTACGAGCAGCCGCGGGAACGAGCGAGCAAGAGAGACTACCGCAGTGCGGCGGCGGCGGCGGCGGCGGTGTTCCGCTGGCGAGCAGGGAACCCGCGAACAGTTGCCGGCGGTCGCCAGTCGCGCCCCTCCCCTCTGCGCCGTATATTCGCTCATTACCGCACTCGTATCGACGGCGCACCTGAGCCCGCTGGCAGCGACGTGGCAACAATCGCGCCGTCGCTAATGCGCTGCGAGGACTCCGGAAGCCCGGCGATCGGACGGAGGGCGGCTCGGCGGCGCAGCAGACACCACACGCCGTTCGAGTCCCGCCGAGCTCCCCGACCACATTCTGCATGCAAGAGCAAGTGACCAGCAGCAGTTGCACAGCGCGGGCGGTAGCGGGATCTCGCGCCGCGCCCTTCCCACGCCCTCGCCCGTCAGCGCTGCATCTCCTCACAGGAAGCCCCGCCGGCAGCGCTCCTCGCCCGCGACGCGAAACTGGTCGCCCAGCACGACGTCTCCGGAGAGAGCACGGCCGAGAGGGGCGGCGGAGTCTGCGGCCCCGAGCGTCCGACGCAGAGCCTCGCGCGACGCCGCCGGGGCCGTGACTCACCCTCGCCCAGCCCGCCCGCCCGCCCGCCCGCCACGAGCCCCGTTCCTCCCCGCGACGCCGTGCTCCCGCTCCCACGAGGCTTTCACTTGTTGTGTCTCGTCCCTTTGGCGGTGCCGTCCTCTCCGTCCTCTCCGTCCCCGGCGAGTGTCCCCGTCGCCGGCCAGTCCGCTTCTTTGCCTCGGCGTCTTTTCTCTTCGTCGATTCATCCCTCTCCCCTTCTACCTCCTCTTTATCCAGCTCTCCTCTGGCCCCTTCTCCTCCCTTTCTCACACCTTCTATTTTTTCCCTTGTCCCCTCTCCTCCGTTTCTTGTACCCTCCCAGCCCCCTCACCCCGCCCCCAGTCTCACCCCACCAACCTCAGCCGCTCTCTCTCCCTCCCTCCCTCTCTCCTCCTTCTCTCTCTCCCTCCCTCCCTCCCTCCGGTGCATTTTCGCTTTTATTCCTGGCCATGACACACATCGCGCGGAGAAACGCCATTCGAATTCTTTAAAAAAAAACACCAAAAAATTATCTCGTAAAGACACATCAAGATCTTTTTCGACGACAGGAACTGACAGGCACTCATGTCGGATTTATCAAAGGGAAATGCATGTCATATCCGATAACCGAACTACAGCCACTCAAGTAACGAGTAATACCTGTGTTCCTGAGCACGAGCAGCAGCTATTACCATAACGGTATTATTATTATTATGAGATAAAATGAATAGCAATGGTAGTGATGATGATAATGATGGTAATAACAATTATAACAATAACAATAGCAATACTAATAATGATGATACCATGATACTACTCATGATGATACTATTGCAACTAATAATTATAATAATAATAATAATAATAATAACAATAATAATAATAATAATAACACCACCAGCAGCAATAATAATGATGACAAGCATAATAATAACAATAATAATAATAATAATAATAAAGATGACAATAATAACAATAACAAAAATAATAATAAGAAGCTCAATAATAATAATAATAACAATAATATTAATAATAATAATTACGATAATAATAAGAACATTATTAATAAAAATAGTAACAACAATAACACTAATTATTACTATGATTACAATAATCTTGACAATAACAACAACAATAATAATATCAGTACTACCTGGGGACCAACCATATCAATAAAACACAAAGTAACAACAAAAAAGCACGTACAAAATATAATCGTCAACAACTACAACAATTGCAATAACAACAACACGTGTAATAACCAGCCGTTCACTCACTGTTCAACCCCCCTCCCCCCCCCTCTGCAGTCTGAAGAGGCTGTTCACCTTATTCTCATCACAAAATCACCCCTCCCCTCCCTCTCTCCCTCACCCCTCCTTCCTTCCCTCCCTCCCTTCCCTCCTTCCCTTCCCTCCTCCCTACTCCCTCCCTCAGCCCTACCTCCTCGCTTCCTCCCTCCTTCACTCCTTCCCTCCCTCACCCCTACCTCCCTTCATCCCTCACCCCACCTCCCTTCATCCCTCCCTCACCCCTCTCTCCCTCATCCCTCCCTACACCCTCCCTTCCTCTCTCCCTCACCTCCCTCACTCACCCCTCTCTCCCTCATCCATCCCTCACCTTCCCTCCAGCGTTCACCCGCTCGGCCAGCCTCTGACCATTCGCACTTTGAACTTGGCGCCGAACGAGTCCAACGGCCAGGGAGTGGGGGGGGGGGGGGGGAGGTCGCCACTGACCGTGCCCTCGAGGAGTCCCGGATGCCAACGCTGAACGGCTGGCTGACCCCTGTATTTGTCTGTTTGTTTTTGGTTTATGTTTTTTGTGTTGTCTGTCTGTTTGTTTGTCTTTGTGTATGTGTCTGTCTGTATTTCTGTGTACTTGTGTCTGTTTTTTTCTGTCTTTCTGTGTCTTTTTGTCGGTCTTTCTATGTCTGTTTCGTCTGTCTTTCTATGTTTGTTTTTCTGTCTTTCTGTGTATCTGTGTCTGTTTATTTGTCTGGTTCCTGTGTCACCGTATTTACCTCATCTAACATATCTCTCTCTTAATCTATATCAATCTTTATATCCATTTCCTCGCAACTGGCACCATAACGAATACACCAATGAAAATAACGAAAATATAGTATACATAATTTAATATACAAAAATATCATGGAATCACACAACAAAAAAACTATCCGTTTGTTTGTTTTATCTTTAATGCATTTTTTTTTTCTTTTTGTCTTCCGACTTACGATTATGGCGTGTCATAACATTATACAATCCATTTACGAGCCTCATTTCTGTATCAAGAAGACTGATAATCATTTCATATCCAATAATTTTCGTTTAAACAAATGCCTTACGTAGTGCGTTACCGTCCCGCATCTTACAACGTATAAAATTGAAGTAAACGTCTACGTCTGCCTGTCACTCCAAAGGAACGTCTTTCGCTTTCGAACCCTGACGACGAAACAGCTCACACGCAAACAAACACAAACACAGAAATACATACACACACACGCGCGCGCACAAGCTTCGCGACTGCAACAGACGCTCATGAACGTGCAATAAACCTTGCAACGTGGGAGACAACGCCCCTTTGGGAACGGTCGGAACGGGAGATATGAGAGCGCCGTCGCCTCTTTCGTCAAACTGATAGATATATGGATAAATAGATAGATAGAGAGTGTGTGTGTATGTGTGCATGTGTGTGTATGTGCGTGTATGTGTGTGTGTGAGAGAGAGAGAGAGAGAGAGAGAGAGAGAGAGAGAGAGAGAGAGAGAGAGAGAGAGAGAGAGAGAGAAAGTGAGTGTGTGTGTGTGTGTGTATGTGTATGTGTGTGTGTATGTGTGTGTGTGTGTGTGTGTGTGAGAGAGAGAGAGAGAGAGAGAGAGAGAGAGAGAGAGAGAGAGAATAAAAAGACAGAGATAGAGCGACAGATAGAGTGAGAGAGACAGAAAAATAGACAGAGAGAGATCGACAAAAAGAAGACAGACAGAAACAGACAGACAGAGAAAGAGACAGAAAACGAAACCAACCCCTCCCCCACCCCATCTCACGCGGCCCAAACCCCCTTCCACACTCGACACACAGAGGAGCGCGCGCAAGGAGAGGCGAATAAGCAATTACGGATAATCACGCGCAAGCAGCCAGACACACATTGGATAATTGCCGATGCATAGGGTGCTCTGCGACGCCCCTGCTCACCCCTGGCAATGCGTCGCCTGAGCGTTATGCGGCGTCTGAGGGCGAGCGTCCAACTCCAGCAGAGGTCTGAGGGCGAGCGTCCAACTCCAGCAGAGTCTGAGGCGAGCGTCCAACTCCAGCAGAGAGCTGAGGGCGAGCGTCCAACTCCAGCAGGGTGTCTGAGGGCGAGCGTCCAACTCAGCAGAGTGTCTGAGGGCGAGCGTCCAACTCCCTGAGGCGAGCGTCCAACTCAGTTGAGGGCGAGCGTCCAACTCCAGCAGGGTGTCTGAGGCGAGCGTCCAACTCCAGCCAGCGCAGGGAGTCTGAGGGCGAGCGTCCAACTCCAGCAGAGTGTCTGAGGGCGAGCGTCCAACTCCAGCAGGGTGTCTGAGGGAGAGCGTCCAACTCCAGCAGGGTGTCTGAGGGCGAGCGCAGCAGGGAGTCTGAGGGGCGAGCGTCCAACTCCAGCAGAGTGTCTGAGGCGAGCGTCCAACTCCAGCAGGGAGTCTGAGGGCGAGCGTCCAACTCAGCAGAGTGTCTGAGGGCGAGCGTCTGAGTGCTGAGGGCGAGCGTCCAACTCCAGCAGGGTGTCTGAGGGCGAGCGTCCAACTCCAGCAGAGTGTCTGAGGGCGAGCGTCCAACTCCAGCAGGGTGTCTGAGGGCGAGCGTCAACTCCAGCAGGGTCTGAGGGCGAGCGTCCAACTCCAGCAGAGTGTCTGAGGGCGAGCGTTCCAACTCCAGAGAGTGTCTGAGGGCGAGCGTCCAACTCCAGCAGGGAGTCTGGGGCGAGCGTCTGTCTGAGGGCGAGCGTCCAACTCCAGCAGGGTGTCTGAGGGCGAGCGTCCAACTCCAGCAGAGAGGCGAGCGTCCAACTCCAGCAGAGAGGGCGAGCGTCCAACTCCAGCAGAGAGTCTGAGGGCGAGCGTCCAACTCCAGCAGGGAGTCTGAGGGCGAGCGTCCAACTCCAGCAGGGAGTCTGAGGGCGAGCGTCCAACTCCAGCAGGGATCTGAGGGCGAGCGTCCAACTCCAGCAGAGAGTCTGAGGGCGAGCGTCAACTCCAGCAGGAGTCTGAGGCGAGCGTCCAACTCCAGCAGGAGTCTGAGGGCGAGCGTCAACTGTGTCTGGGCGAGCGTCCAACTCCAGCAGAGTCTGAGGGCGAGCGTCCAACTCCAGCAGGAGTCTGAGGGCGAGCGTCCAACTCCAGCAGAGAGTCTGAGGGCGAGCGTCCAACTCCAGCAGGAGTCTGAGGGCGAGCGTCCAACTCCAGCAGTCTGAGGGCGAGCGTCAACTGTCTGAGGGCGAGCGTCCAACTCCAGCAGGGAGTCTGAGGGCGAGCGTCCAACTCCAGCAGAGGGAGTCTGAGGCGAGCGTCCAACTCAGGTCTGAGGGCGAGCGTCCAACTCCAGCAGAGTGTCTGGCGAGCGTCCAACTCCAGCAGAGTGTCTGAGGGCGAGCGTCCAACTCCAGCAGAGTGTCTGAGGGCGAGCGTCCAACTCCAGCAGAGTGTCTGAGGGCGAGCGTCCAACTCCAGCAGGTGTCTGAGGCGAGCGTCCAACTCCAGCAGGAGTCTGAGGGCGAGCGTCCAACTCCAGCAGAGTGTCTGAGGGCGAGCGTCCAACTCCAGCAGGGAGTCTGAGGGCGAGCGTCCAACTCCAGCAGAGAGTCTGAGGGCGAGCGTCCAACTCCAGCAGAGTCTGAGGCGAGCGTCCAACTCCAGCAGGAGTCTGAGGGCGAGCGTCCAACTCCAGCAGAGTGTCTGAGGGCGAGCGTCCAACTCCAG